TGGGGAGACCCCCCACGGGTGGGTTGGTCTCTTGGACGTTCTCAGGTTGTCTGTTATTAGTAGCTTCTTGTTGATCTTGCATCCGTGGTGGATTTGTCTGATTTTGGTTCATGTTTTGCGTTGATACTATCAGTCACTGAAAAATCAGTTTGTTCATAATAGGAACAATCGTTCCCACAGACGGCGCCAAACTGATGGTGCAAATTAATGGCGATACAGTTTTGTGGTAATGAGTCAATGGGATAAACAATATTATGATTATTAACGTGGGGAATGGTGCTTAAGGTTTTCCCAGAATTGAAGGATTAACACAGAGGAAATATAGTGGTTCATCGACTAGGGAGCTTGGCTAATCCACTCTTCAATGGAGGCTATGACTTTTTTTTCTTTATTGATCATACTAAAGGTTTACAGAATAGGTTTTTGGTCATTCGATCCCCTCTTCTGATGGGGGCGTTACATGGTATTTATAGGGGTGACCCTTAATCTATAGGATCTGATCCGTGATCCTCGCCATCTATCCGAGGAATTCTCTTTGATCTTAGGAGAGTATCTTGGTTGGTTGAAGATTTTGTGCCTTGAGTATTACTTCAAACTGCCTGTAAAGTTCTTTGTAGTATTCAATTGTTTCTTCATTGCTTCAGCTTATTATCTCGCTTAAGGGGAGCTTTAACTCTGATTTTTTGAACTTTGCATAGCTCTGACTTTCAGAGTTTAGTATACCTAACCTCCATATTTGACCTCTGTTCCCGAACTCCTACTCAGAAATCATTCTGAGTATCATCAAGGACAATGGTGGATACAATTCTAAATATTGTTATCCAATGCTTTAAAACCGCATATTTTTCCAAAAAGTTGGTATCATTAGACAGCTTACTTTGATCTTTCGAGTTTGTAATTTATATTACTTTAGCTCTCAAGTTTGTAATTTATTTTACTTATTTCCTCTAGTTTTTAAATAGAGCCACTCAATTGTAATTGCAAAGCTCAAGTAATATAGACGAATTATAAATTTAGATATTTTGAATTTTAATTTTGATAATTTTCTAAGCTCAGAGTATAAGGATTTATCTCTTATAAATATCCTAATTCCGGTGTAGATAATCTGTTTTTGTCTGGATAAAGGGAGAGATTTTTTTTTGAAAGTAAAGCTATTCAAAAATTTCAATTACATATAAAAATGTTGATTACAATTAGAGGATAATAAAGTCTTTATTTCGGGAGAGGGACAACTCACCCAACTCAATTGAATTGAATTTGATAAAGTCTTGTTGTTGACTTGTGTAAAAATCTTAAATGAAGAGCTGTATTGAAAATATTAAATTAATAAAAAATCTATTTATTGACTGAACCAAAGTGAGACACAAGTTAATTGAAAACTTGAGAGGCTTAGCGTGACACAACTGACATTATTTCTCAATATAAAAGTGTATGCGTATACGTACGGATGCATAGAGTTAATTACACTTTTGGCTATTAAAGTAGCCACTGTTTTGTTAGGTGTCAGTTGAGTATAGGTTGTCTCTTGCTTTCACATCACCCAACTAACATAAGCAATCCCATTATTTTTCTTTTCTTCTTGAAGAAGCTGTTGAGTCCTTATCAACCATTGTCCAATTGATGAACGGTGTAGATGATCCCATGGTGTTAAAGTTAATTAAGGAACATCACATTTTGGAAAAAAAAAATAAAAAAAAATTGGAAATTTGCCAATGTTATTTTAAGAGCATACAAAATAAACATAAAAAAAACGTAGACCACGTATGAAACTCCTGTCTCTGTAGAGTCGATGAATGATTAAATATAAACAGTCTTATCCGTATAATAATCAATGAATAATTAAATATATTCATTTTCGAGAATGCAATGCTACGAAATGCATTGTATGATGAACGTGAACTCAGACAAGTCAAGCATTTTACACACACTTCATTAAATAATAAGAGACATGTCTAATCACCGCATCACACTCTTGTGGAAATTGTATGCATTGAACTTTGCTCGCATGACTATACAATTAAATTCTGAAGCTTACACATATCAAACGCTTAAACTATGTCAGCTCGAGAAAGCAAGTCTTATTTTCTTGTCGATCAATTAGATTTAAGGGCTAATTATAAAATATTCCTTTTTAAGTTTGGATTAAGTGGCAATCGACTCCCTCTGATTTAAATTTTTACAAATTATTCCCTCAAAGTTTGTACATTTTCATTTAACTCAAATTGTTAGTTTTGACACTACAAAATAAAGAAAATTAAGTCACATGATTTCATATTTATTGAAAAGAGAAAATTACCCTCGAAAAATTTTTCTCAATTCAAAAAACTCCCCGTTCTTCTTCTCACAGACAAAATAATATGAAGAGTGATCTTGTCTCCGTAGAATTTGAGACCATGTGATTTACAAATGATTATTTTTTGTCATTTGTTACTGTCAAAATTAGCGGTTTTACTTAATTTATAAATATTCAAACTTTGAGAGGATAAATTATTGAAACTAAATACATATAGAGTTGATTGAATGTGACCTAATTTAGCGGTTTGAAGTTGGGAACTTGATTAATCACTATGGTCCTTGATTTTGACTATTTATTATTTTAATTATTTCCCCCAATAGAATTATGCCAAGTGCTTTTAATTTTAATAACATATTACTAGTGTACCATTTGGTATCATAATTTACAGTATTCCCTCCATTCTTAAATATCTGTCGGTCAAAATTTTTGCACAGGAATTAAGGAAATAATTAAATAGCTCTAAAATGAGTAAAAAATAATTACACAAGACTAAAATACTCCTATTCAATACGTATTGGGAAAGAAAGGAATATGAAAGACACTTAGTCTACACTTAATCTATTAAGCACTTATTAAAAAATAAAGATTAGGGTAAATTTAGAAGAAAAAATATTAATTATGCATTAATTTCATTAAACGACAGATATTATGGAACAAAAAAAATTGTGTAAAATGACATATTTAAGAAAAAAAAATTAGGTCAAAATCAACAATATTTTAGCTTCTAGTTTGTAGTGATAAGGGGAGGTCACGTTATTCTATGGGTAGAAATTATAATATTTCATTTTTCTATTCGATATTTTGTGGAAGAATTTTTTCTTGTCTTACCCTATCCGATTAAATATATTATTTTTACTCGAATTTCGTCCAAAACAATAAGGTAGAAAGTCGAATAGGAAATCGGGTGAACACATATTTTTTAATTATTAATTTTTAAATCATTTTAACAATTTAATTAAATAACTTGCACCAATTATCTAATATAATAAATCAATAATACTAAAGAAAATATAATAAATTCGATAATACATAAACAATTACAATAAAACATAACTAGAAACTATAAACATTAATATATCATATATAATAAAATCATAAAACACCAATAAAACATTAGAGTTTCTAAATTGTTGAATTTGAATTTTTCGGGATTAACGCACACACACATATATGTGCTGGTAGGATAAGGTAAGAATACGAAAATTTTATAGGTCTGCATTCCTACTTGATTTTTTACGGATTATCAAAAAATCTTTTGTTGGTCTATCTAATTTTTTGGATAGTCGATCAATAGAATCGGATAAAATAGGATAAGATCAAAATTTATGAATGATCAAAAATTTAAACACCCTAATAGTGATACATGTACCTCTTAATGTAGAAGCAGTATATTCATATATGTCATTTGAGTACGAATTTATATGAGAAACAGAGTGAACTTTTCGTACATGTAAAGCAAAAGAATAAAATAAACTATTTAAACCTATTAAAAAATATAAAAACTTAGAAGTACTTAAAAAAATGTTGTCTATGAGTACTTAAATTAATAGAGCTAGTTCTGATGTGAATGATCTATTTTTGATCGAATCGGACTACAAATTATTCGAGATATATATAAATTGACTTGAATATCTCTAATCGTTGAACAAAAAATAAAAAAATGGAGCATTCTATTTAAAGTTACGAAGCCAAATTTAATTGTAGGTGTACAGATTTTCAATTTTTAATATAGACATGAATAAAGGAATCAAATTTTTTGAAACCATGGGCATTTGCTTAATTTTCTCCTAGTAGGATTAGGTCATGGTGTCTTTAAGGAGAAAATATTTAATACAGAGTAATGCTATGTATCTCAAATTTTTATCTCAAATCAAGGAAGACCATTGGATTAGTGGGTCTCATTTAAAAAAATTAAGACTCACTCATCTAATGGTCCCCCTTCATTTGAAATAGAGATTTGGAATAGAAATTTGAAATGCATAACATTTTCCTTTAATATAACAATGACATTAATAGTGATATCATTGTCAAATAATAACTTAACATTAAGTAATTTCACTTAATTTAATAGTCATAATATCTAAGTAAGAGTATAATTATCACGTATAAATAGTGACAACACGTGAAATGAATAAAAAAATTGTCGAGCTATTGAACTTAAGAGATAGTCGAAAAAAGAAAAGAGAGAGAGAGAAACAAGAAAACAAACGACCAACTCCAGCGTCATCGAGAAGAAAGTTAACTTATCACAACACCACACGTGTCTCCAATCTGTCCCTGGCCCCACCACCTATGTTCACCTCTCTCCTTAAAAACTATTCTTAATAATTTTAATCATTAAATAATAGTGAATTTTAATAAATAATAAAATTTATAATAAAAGTAAAAATTATAATTATGAAATTTAATTTTTAAAGCCACGTAATATTGCTCTTATCTCTCTTTCTCTGTGGAATTCAAAAACATGACGATGATAACAACAACATCCTGATTCTCTCTGCTCTATCCTCTGCAATTTTTTGACCTTTCTCAGTACCCAACATCGCCACCTTAACAGTCAGATAACAACCTAAACAAAACAAAAAAAAAAAAACAAAACCCAACAAAACCCAGCAACTAAAATTAGTCCTATATATACCCATACATATAATTTTTTCTCTCTCCAAATGCAATCTCAAACCCTTCCTATGTCCAATCCCAAGAAATGATTCCCACAGCTTCAGCAACTGCAACCACAATGTTACTCAGATCAGAGGATGGTATGCCATCAAACACCCTTTTCATGCCTTCATCATATGAAGATGACAAGAAACTGGAGACCACACACTTTCTCTCAACGGCCTCAAGTAACACCAGTACCACCACCACTGCCAACACCAATCTTTATCAGCAACGGCGTCGACGGATTGCCAGTGACTCCTCTCTGTCTTCCCAATCTGACAGTGGTCGCCGCCGATCTTTTCGTCAAGATATGGGACAGGCCGCCTCTAATACTTATCTGATTACCCGTCTTACCTTCAAGATGTTGCTATATCTTGGGTAAATTTTCCTCCCCCTCTTTTTTTTTTGGAACTATTTTGGCGTTGATAGTTGTTCTCGTGCGCTTATTGATGGTTTGAATGGTACTGTTAACTGTTTTTTTGGCTATTAAAAGTGCTATAAATCGTATCAAAAGTGAAGAACATGAGCATTTCAACTTTTTTTCTTTTGGATATTGATATTTAATGATGTTTAGAGATGAGTTTACTGCCAATCTTAGTATTGTATGACTAAAGAAATTGTTTTAGTCATCACATTTTAGAGGGGATATTGAAGTTCTCTTTTTGTTTTCCTCGAGTTTTGGATTATAGTTGCATATATGAAGTAAATGATTCGATTAAAATGCTTATCAAAACATTAATAGAAGAAAGTCGAGATTTAGAATTTACTATGATGATGAGCGTCAATTTCAAGGATAAGCGCAAACATAGCCATTTATGCTCAGTTTAGTATTATGGAAAGTTGGAAGGATAGAAAATTAATGATAAATAAAACATCATGTTTGGTAAGGAAGAAAAGTAGGAATTATAGAAAAGTGGACGGATTAACTGTCCATCCAACTCATCAAAATCAATCCCTCCAAAATCGGACGAAAAATGGACGTAAAATTAATTATTTATGTTAAAATGTATTTTATTTGTCTATATATCTTTTTATTTATACATATATTATGTATACATTAATTTCATAAAAAATACAATGATAAAATATGTATTTATATATATATATATATTTTTTTTAAAAAAAATTTTTAAAAAAAATTAAAAAATAAAAATAAAAGTTTAAATTTTAAAAATATTTTTCCCATTTTAATTAGGGGTGAAAAATTTTAATTAACACGATAACACGACTTGAACTCGACACGAATTTTATGGTACGAACTTGATTAACTCGAACACGAATACGACATGAAAATAAACATATTGACTCGTAACTCGACACGACACAATTAGTTAAATAAGTTGAGTTAGGTGTGACTAATGTTCGACACAAACCTGTATTGACTTAACACGAATCTGACATGATTCAACTCGATTGTCACCCATAATCTTAGCCAACCAAAAAAAAAAAATTAGTCATTTTTATTTTTCATCCATCCAACAAAACACAAAGGAAGGAAAATATATCATTCCTTCTTCCCTTTCTTGAAGGATATAAATTATATCCCTCTACTTTACATCCTTCCAATTAAATGGAGCATTAGACGCATTGGACAATGGATCAACATCTTGTTATGACTTTGCCCTTGTTCACATGGCTTTAATAGCCAAGATCTTCCCTCTAACCTAATAAGGTCGTGGTTGAGGGGACATTAGAACATAAGTAGCCTTCCAAGTGAAGGGGGAATCCAGTTCCACCAACCCTCTATGTAAAGAACACACCTCAAACTTTCCTTTCTTTGAAGCAACTGTATCATAGAATCTTCTGTTCCCCCATTTACATTACAAGCATTCAAGGTATCTAAGAGAGCTTTTATGGTGTCTGTGTTCCAATGTTGCCACACCCTCCCCAAATGAGAGTCAACACCAAGTGACATGCTATAACCAATGATGAAGGCTTGGTTGTTCACAATACAAATCTACTTTAGCAACTGCGGAGTTTGGCTAGCACATAGCTTGGAGTCTGCAATAACTTCTAATCCTATACCATTGTTAATGCTCATATTTTCAAACTTGAATGGCTCTTTATTCTGATATAAACCCTCTACCCAATTAGATGAGAGCATGACTCGGGAAAGGACTAAGTAAAAAGTATTGGAAGGCACCTCAAAAGTGCTTTGCTATTCTGGTGACACCCAAAATCCTATTCAATTTGGATTAAACCGTAGGAGTTAACAGAATCCTGATAGTTCTCTTTGCCAATACCTCTTGTGCAGGAGCTTTACTACCACCCTATCCTACGATTGATTCCTTGGTTTTCCAATAGGGTAAAAAGAAGTGCTTCGAGTGTAAAGTAAATAGTCCATAATGGAGCTTGAGTAGTAAGAATTGATTAATCTCTCAAGGGCAAGGGTTAATGCCAATCAATGAATTGGAACAACTAAAGAGGCTCACCAGAGCACCCTATCAACAAGTCTACCACTCCAAGAGTTTGAATCATATCCATTGTATTCTAGTGTCTGAAAACAATATCATCTCACCGATCATGGTAAATCAACTTCACTACATTCCTCTTGTCATCTCCCTGAACGCTGTCAGCATGCATCATCTTCAACAGCTCCTGTTTTGTGTTATACTTAAAGCCCATCTCTTAACCACTCCCCCTGCTGTAAAATCCTTAATGTGGGACAAATCTTCTTCCTTCTTAGAACAGTTGATGCTTCGCTTTATCTCCTTTGACTGGTTGGCACATCTCGTTAGGGCCCTACAACTCTATGGAAAAGTTAAAGAAGAAGAGAGCAAAATCTCCTCCAACTTATAGCCCTCATAAAGCTCAAAATAAATTAGAACCTTTTCAGCACTCTTCTGAAACTTTCTATTGACAGAAAGTATCTCAAATTGTATCCCCCAAACAGTTATACTCCTACAAAGTTGGAAATTTCAGTACTATTATTCATAATGATTCCTAACATGACTAATAGTCAAGCTATTATCATGTTATCATGATTCGCATATTAACTTGGCTGTATGCGGATGTTGCACCATGATGGTTGCTTTGCACATTGCTCCTTTTAAATATCTTCTTGTTGTGCCTGGTGGATTGCCGCAATATTAAACTTTTAAAATGTAAAATTATCAAACAACCCCTTGGTAGAGAATGCTGTAATAATAATTGGGTCATGAGAGACCTTTGTGGTAAAAATCACTCAAGGGGCCCATAACACTGTTGTTTTCATTTACCATCTCTACTTTCAATTGATCTAAAGCTGATTTCAGCATGTTAGGCTAGCCCTCTTTTTTTACAAAAAAGTGGTAACGTGCTCCCTTTTTTCTATGTTATTTTAAGGCTTTGACTATTTTGATAACTAATGAAAAAAACGAAATTAAAGCAGCAGAAATTGCAGAATTTGCTTTTGCCTTTTCTGTGCATTGTTTCACTCAATTTTGTAATACAAGTCATGAATTTGGTAGTTGTTGTATGAGATATGTTTTAAATATAGTTTTAACTTCTAGATGTTTTTGAACATTTATTTTTATTCAGGGTAGGCTACAGATCGATCATCAGATTTCTTGCCCTTGGTTGTTATGCTTTCCTAGTTATCCCCGGTTGTTTTCAAGGTTTGCAACATTCTGTGATCTGTTGCCAAAATTTCCCTCCTGCATCAATATCTATTTTCTGAGTTGTGATCTATCCTATATTTTCATAACTGTTTTTTTCTCTTTGAATGTCATCTGTCCCTTGTCTTTATCATCGACATCATACTTGTAGGATCTACTGACAAATGTCCAGTTCTTGCAGCATAACAAAGTTTGCTTGTCTATTGCAGTTGGGTATTACTATTTTTCCTCAAGTCAGGTCCGTAGAGGTGTAGTTTATGGTGATCAACCAAGGAATAGGTATGTTACGAACTTGGTTCATCTATTGTGCATTTGCTCAATAACTTTCTAGACCCAATTTATTTTGTGTTTTATGGGATTGATAAATGATGAAATGCTATGGTGTAGGCTTGATTTGTATTTACCTAAGAATACAGATGGTCCAAAGCCAGTTGTTGCATTTGTAACTGGTGGAGCCTGGATTGTTGGGTGAGTGACAAAGTTCTTTTTTCTAAAATTATGCATCTATAACTTCTGTAAAGTGATCCAGACTCAAGTAAATTGGACAATCATGTCTTCTGAGCAGTTTTTCTATTGATGCAGTTATAAAGCTTGGGGTTCTCTGTTAGGAAAGCAGTTATCAGAAAGGGACATAATAGTGGCATGCATAGATTACAGGTGCTTTTATTTAGTTCAAACTTATTGTACACAGGCATGCATAGATTACAGGTGATTTTATTTAATTCAAACTTAATGTCCTGTGTACAATGTAGATGCTATTAGTTCAAACTTTCGGTTTTGTATATGTGGCGTCCCAAAATCCGAGTGTCAGTAATTATCCGATTGATCACCCATTAACTTACGGAATACCCGTGGATATTGTGTAATTCGATACCATGCCGATATGTCCCATTTATCGGGATCCATAACTTTACAAAATTTGGGCAGAGTCTCCTTTATATAGAGAGCTCTACCCAAAACGTAACATGTGGAATCATATAACATTAATCACACCGGGTCTATCCATCCATTCACAATTGTATAGTATCGAATACTATCATAATCATCATCATTACGTACATTCATTCATAAAAGAATAAATGTCCCAAAAGAGTCCTGTGCGTGCAAGATCTTGCACAATATAAAAAACGGGAACAGATCTCTCCCCTGGTGAACTCGAGTGAGCGGGTGGAGTGACCAAACACGCTGCCTAGAACAGCCTGCAAGGTGCGGTAGTAACCCGGAACGGCAACGGGGTATCCTGGGAAAGATGGGACGATCCTGTGAGGATGAAAGGGGTTCCTGGAACAGAGAAGAACAAGTTAGAAGGGCGCCGGAGTGTTTTCCGGCGTATCCCCTCCGACGGTCTAGTCAGTCTTTGAGTGAGAGAGAGGAAGGAGAAAACACTAAGAAAAATGTATTGTAGTAGAGAGTTTGTTGTTGCATACCCGCTTTACCTTTTGGGAGGAGTATTTATACCTTAAAAGCTCATGATTGCTGTCAGTGTGGTCAGTAGGTGATCATTAGGCACAGGTAGCGTGTGCATTGATTCTGATGAGGAATGTCTTCTCTAATTGACTGCTCGGGGTCCCGAGCAATCAATGCTGAGTCGTCGGGATGCCGACGGTACAATATGCTCCTCTCGGGGAGGATGCAATAAATGCTCTGTAATAGGAGCATTTATTGCCTTTCATTTCTTAGCTTTACCGCATTGAATGCGGTCTCATCAACAGAAGGGTGCAATTAATTGTTTGCTTTCCTAAGCCGCGTGTCAGTAACGACGTGCAGTTTGTCTGTCTTTGATGTGACATCATTTGCCACGCGTCCATCCCCTATTGGCTGTGACCTCTGTATTCCAGTATGTTCTGACATTACTTGTGTAAGACGAGGTCATGATGAGCAGCCTAGACTAGCCTAGGCTAGTGACCTATACGTCAATAGCTTATCCTGGAGTAGAGGAAGCGTCCAGGACGGAGTAACTCTCGGCACCGAGGAAAGGCTCATCTCGGGGACCGAGGGAGGTATGCGACCGAGGTACATAGGTGACCGAGGACACGTGTTGTTGTATAATATACTGAATGCATGATCCTATATGAGGTACCTCGGGGGCAAGGACATTCGTTCGCCGATGGTGCTTGATCCAAGCAACAGTGTTTTAACAAAACCGAGGACACGTGTCTTCATCATAGGGCATTTCAGAAGAGTCTCATCAAGTCCCATATACATGTCCTTTTAATATAAAAGAAGTTTTTTTTTTTACAAAAAAATTATACAAGGCCAAAAAATAAACATATACAAGGGACTGCAAAGTCAAAATAAGAGCCACAGACCGCTCTGTCGTCAAATCGAGGCCATGGTCTCACCTTCGGTGGATGCCTGCGCGATATCTGAAAAATGTTTCCATAAAGGGTAAGCCAACGCTCAATAGGGTAACTCCTATAAAGAATATCTCTCAACCCAAATGCATATAAAATGTCACATGCAACAATCATTTGATGCATTCATTCAAATATGTCTATTATGAACAAATGACATAAATAATGTCATACTATGAGACGAGACTCATGCAAGCAATACTAACACCGAACCCCATCTTGAGCTGCCACAATACATGCAATGTCATGCGTATGTATCCGGGCATTCCAAGCTTCCATCATTAGAGTTATGTACTCTCAATGACTAATTAATTTATTTTATTGTATTTTTGTGGGGAGATGATTTATGGTATTACACCAATGGGACACCAACCATCAACGGATTTTTAGGACATCCCACTTGCAGCTCCGTTTTGGCCATTACATTTTTCTGGAATTTCACCGTCGGAAATTGTATAAACCAAGTAAGCGGGTCTTGCACTCGAGGGAAAATCTAGCATTTCTTGTTATCCTCGACACATTTATCCATTTAATTTCCTGTACAATTTAGTTGGACCTTGGTGTGATTTTCTTGAGCCCACGATCAACCATCTATGTGGTGATTGATTTCATACCATGCACACACTGTCACCCATGTCAATTCACATAAATGTAGTGCAACTCATGTATAATGCAATACAATGTGTAATTGTCTTTGGTACTATTTACAATACTCATTACATAATGAATGCAATATAATGACATTTTCAACACAATCTCAAGCATGTTATGTATAATAATTAACTCAACTAACATACTTGTATTCACCTAGACATTTAAACAAACACATAGGGGGCACATTCAATTTACACAACTAGCATGTTTATTAATTCCATCATGACAACATGTTTATTAATTATATAAACATAAGCACAAATCCACCACAATAATCATATGCTAAATAATCATTTAACATACATATCATTTCATAATTGTGTAACAAACTAATAATTTTATTAAAATTGATATGCAATTAAAACATAAAGTAATGTTAATATATAATTAACATGCTTTAAACCACTAATTTTAACTTACATCAAGTTAATCATAATAAGATTTTATTAATTACAAAGTTAATCATAAATCTTATATTTGACGCACTAGTTACATTAGTCAAAACCTAACATGTGATATACACCTTTAAACTACCCATTTCATATGTCATATTTTAGGTTGAAATTTAATCTAAATAGGAAGAACCCTACTTCTTGTAGTCTGAGCCCACTTACTAGAACTCTAAAAAAGTCCAAATTTAACTTCGTAAGTCTTAGGCCTTGATTATCGTCTTTGATATATTTTTTCAGAGAAAAATACAATATTTGGTGTGGTTGCATAGCTCTCGTTGAGTAGAGCAATTTTAATTCTTGGTCCGAAGCGATTAAACTGTTTAATCTTTGTAGATCTAAAAAAGAAGAAAAGAGAAAAATAAAGAAAAAAAAACTCTTTTCTCCCTCATGCTCACTCGGCAGCCGCTGGAGAAAGAAAAAGTGGATGACTAAAGTCTTGAGTATAAATTTATTTTTTTAAAAATTTATGTTTTTGACCCTTATACTAACAATTAATTATTATTTTACTCCTTTAATTAAGATTTTTAATAATAATAATAATATTATTTTTTTTTTGGGGTTTTACAGTATCAAGTTCTTGAAATGACATATTAGATTTATGGTATATGACATTGTCTCAAGACGTAATGTGATAAGACTATTTTAAACTACTTCCTTCTATCCTGTTCATAAATTTTCTACGTCTTACTGCTCCATCTATCCTGTTCATAACTTGTACACACATCATTTCTAATAATTTGGAGTGAAGCCTCCTATTTGATAACTATTGGGGCATTTGGATGTCTACTGGATAAACAGAGTCAGAAACGAGTCTTTTTGCATTTTGTGGTCATTAGGTGTAATTTTGTGGTGGTGCTGGTGGTGGTGTTGAGGGGTGGGGGTGAAGGGGCGAAAGTCAGAAACTACTCAAATTCATATGAAAAAGTGCATGATTGAAGGGTGCCAACAAGATATGTCATTCATTCTTGCAGATAGTCATGTAGTTTAGTGAAGATCGCTATATCATTGGTGTTTTATAATTGAAAAAAAAAATCAACTTGTCAAACAATTTATACATAGATTTTGTAGTAGTGGTTTACCATTTCATAATCAACTGACGAATATGAAACTCCCTTCATAGTTAACTTTCATCAACACCACAACTTTAGTTGTGCAATACCTGTATGATGGTGTATACTTCACATGCATGGATATTAAATACACAACACCTACCTACCTGTAAATGCAGTCTGATGTTTAAAAGCTGCATACAGAAATTTCCCCCAAGGGACCATTAGCGATATGGTTGAGGATGCTTCTCAAGGGATCTCATTTGTGTGCAACAACATTGCTGAATACGGAGGTGATCCCAACAGGTAGTCAAATTATCTTTCTTTTCTTTTTTTTTTGCAAAAAACATTATTCTTTTCTTAACATGCCGTTTTTTGGTTCATGCTGTCTTCTAGAATTTACATAATGGGACAGTCAGCTGGTGCACATATTGCTGCTTGTACTCTCTTGGAGCAGGCAATCAAAGAGGCCGGTGAAGGAGAGAGCACTTCCTGGAGTGTCTCCCAAATAAAGGCTTATTTTGGGTTATCTGGAGGGTAATTCTATTTTGTGAAGCTTTTCATAACTATATAAGATTTTATGGTCTGCGATCTTGAGTCAATTTGTTTGTAGGATTAGTTTTTAAAGGAAAAAAGAAAATAGGGATCCAAAAATAGAGGATGAAGGGTAAACTACCGTAAGTGTGAGTTTTTTTGCTCTCTCTCTCCCTCCCTCCTTGTGTGTATCCTGTTTCCCATTCTTTTGCTAGTTCTCCATCTCTATTCTTGATCAATCTATTAGCTTCTCCTTCTGCTTTATTTTTGCTTCCTTATCTTCTGCAATCTCTCTTGGTTTTCTTTTCTTTTCTGGGGTTTTCTGTCATTATTTTTGAAGCACATTCTGAAGTCAACACCACATTATCATAAGTAAACCTCTGTTAGTTGTTTCTTCTCAAGGTGAAAGGATTGAAATTTGTGATCACCAAATTGTTAGGACTGATAATTAAGGATGATTGTTGGCTTACTCTTGTTTTTTTTGCCCCCTAAATCTAACGTTTCATGAATGAAAACACTGAAGTTGCTTTGCTTAGTTAAATGCAATTGCTATGAGTTATTTGGTAAATTATGATAAACTTATGGTCTAGCGAAATAAAAAAGTAATTTTCCATGGATAGGCTGTCAAAAACTTACAACTTTCCCTTCAACATTCATGAACAGGTACAATTTGTTAAAATTAGTTGACTACTTCCACAGTCGAGGTTTGTACCGTTCAATCTTTCTAAGGTAAAGATTTTATTGATTTTCGAGTAATTATCTCAATAACTGTCTTATTATCTATATCTCCCGTTATATAATTGTTGGTATATGATTCCTATGCAGCATAATGGAAGGGGAACAATCTTTGCAGCGATTTTCTCCCGAAGTAATGGTACAGGACCCAAACATTAGGAATGCTGTTGCTCTCTTACCTCCCTTTATACTTTTCCATGGTAATGCAGATTATTCCATACCATCAGATGCCAGGTCAGAATCTCCACTGGAGTGAATACAGCTATTGTATTTGACCATCTCTATATTCCAATGATCTATATGGTGTAATGTTTTTTGCTATGAAATACAAGTTAAATGTTTGCTGTAATTGGCATGTTTCCTTAAAAATAGCAAAAGAACATGCAGTAATTAGAATTTGAATGCGGGCTGGAATATTTAAAAGAGGTCTCGAAGTCCATATTGTTTGTTGAAGGGACATCTACCAAAGGGAAGTGGGATTGCTGTTTGAACTGTGGATGAGCGTTGATGAATTTCAAACATGGGGTTGAAATTTGAATCATTCTGATTCTAAAGAAGCATGAGTCAAAATCTTATATTAGCTGTTTTTAAGATTCCCTTAAATATGTGTCTGTACACAATAACATGAATATAATGTTCATAGCTAAGTGTTTTTCATAAGCTATAGTGGATGCTTATATATTTTCTTATGTGCAGTAAGAGTTTTGCAGACACTCTTCAACGAGTTGGAGTCAAAGCTGAATCAATTTTGTATGAAGGAAAGACTCACACAGATGTGTTTGTCCAGGTCGACAACTGATGCTTGCTTCCCCCCCCCCTCCTCCTCCTCCTCCTCCTCCTCCTCTTCCTTTCTTTTCTCCCGATTCTGTAGTTGTTTCATAATTCAATTGTGGGGAAGTTCCTACCATCATTTATTGAGCCCCTCAACCAAATAATTTCAGTGAATCCATCTGAAACTAGCACAAAGTCTAATGACTCTAATCACCAGTGCTTGGAAGTCTTGTGGACAAGTGACCTGGGAGTCTGTTCTAATTAGTGTCATGCCCTGCTTGGTAGAGTGGAAAATAGGGTGGAAGGAAAACTGGATGGAAAGAAAAGGTTTACACCATTTGGTTGGGAGCGGAAAATAGAATGAAAAAGAGATATGTTAGACTATTAATGGTGATTTTACCTTTTTGCCCTTTATTTATTTCTCATATATCAAACACATGTATGAAAGTTTCAAGATGGAAGAAGACAACTTGTAGAGGAGCTAGTCCAATAAGCATGCCACTGTCCAGCCGAATCCCAATGACCCTCCCCTCTCTCTCTCTCTCTCTCTCTATGCGCTTTAACAAACCCACAAAATAAATTGTGACCGAAAAAATTATTTTGTTAAAAAAGAATCGAAATGTGTTATTTCGATTTAAAAAATTTATCTACTATCTCCTACCAAGCGTGTTATTTCAAATAGTTCATTTGCTATAGAAAATTTGTTTTTCAAATATAAGGGTATAGCGGTAAATTAAGTCTATACATATTTTCTTTTCTTCATTTTCCTCTTATACAAACAATAGAAAATTAATCCCTCAAACTTTCCATCTATCATACCAAATAAAAAGGAGGGTATTTTTCCTTCTTCAAAAGATGGAAAGTCTATCCCTCATTTTTTTCTCCCTCCAAATTTTCACCCTTCCTGCCGGTCTCTTTACTATCCTGTTCATCTCAGGATTGTGTTATCACCTTATTCTTCTTTTCTTGGGAATTTCTTCTTTTCATGGACATAAGCAATTTTGAGTATCAGATGAACTAATTTGCAGAAGCTTTCATCTTCTGATCTGCAATGTGTTTTTACCATTGAAAAAAAATGTTATGTAATGCTTTATTCGCTGTTTATATATTTTATCGTTTATTATCTGTTACACAAATTTTGGATGGTATCGTATAGGATCCAATGAGAGGTGGTAAAGATGAGATGTTCGAAGATTTAGTTACAAAAATTCATGCTGGAGACTCAGAAGCCCTCGCCAAAGATGCAGTGGCACCTCCAAGAAAACGACTAGTACCCGAAATTATGTTGAAGTTGGCTCGCAGTGTCAGCCCATTTTAGTTAGCTTTAGACCAATTTCTGGCTAGACTAATATCCATAATTATTCTTCTCTCATTCTTTGTATAGAGAACATAGAATTATTAACTTTATTAAATTATTTAGGAGTAACCAGTAGCATCCTCTCTCTTTTTTTTTTTTCTGTATAATGTACTTTTATAATGAGTTTGTTTTCTTTTCTTGCATTGAATTCTAGGACAAAACCATGAATATTGTTGTACTAAAATTATTTTGTAATACAAATGTGATTCTTAATGATCTTGACTTTTTTGCACGGATTATATCAGTCTTGTTAGGGGGCAGCCATCCCCAAAACTAATTAGCAATGGGTGAAGTAGTCATTCAAGTATATAAACTAATCTAGGAAATATGGATACGGATATGACGATACGACAAAACTTTAAAAAATAAGATACGGGTATAGTGATATGTCTATAATAAAAAATAGGTCTTTTCTTACCTTACACTTTGAAAGATTTCAATATTTTTACCTTACACTCTCAAAGATTAAATTTTTTACATTATACCCTCAATGTATCAAAAATATTGTAATTTGACCCTTCCGTTAGTTTTCGTTATTTTTCATGTCAAAAGCAACTTATTGACACCGACAAAAAAACTAACAAAAAACTAACACAAGGGTCACGTTGTAACAGTTTTATTACATTGAGGGTGTAATATGATAAATTTAATCTTTAAGGGTATAAAGTGAAAATTTTGAAGTTTTCTAGGGTTTAAATTGTAATTCTCCCTAGAATATATTTTATTATTATTTAACAACTTAAAATTTATAATTTTCAATAATTCTTTAACAATAGTAAATAAAATTAAGAATTAAAATATATGTAATATCGTCTCATTATGAATATCCATAAAATGAGCGTGACCAATTAAAAGAATCAAAACCACATTTAATTAGCTGGTTTATTTACAAGTATTTATTTTTAAGATTTTAGTGTACCTAACTCTTTTTTTTTTTATACTCTTTTGACAAGTAATAGTAGATAATATTTAAAAAATATTCGTATTTTAAAAATCAGATGGTATTTTGTATTGTATGTGAACTCGAAAGGAGATGGTATAAATTAAAATTAAAAATTGTACATCTTGCTCTATGTTTAGAAATATCCGCGAAATATTCACATATTTTATTAATTATCGGATATGTATAATGCATATCTAATATGTATTTTTGAGTATTCGACGAATATCGTATCCAATACGGATACGTTGGTCTTGACAAAATATTCGTGCTTCGTAAAAACCAACTTGGAGTGACCCTCATTATTCAACGTGAGATACAAACTTTTTTTACAAATCTTTCGGATGCTATGCTTGTTCATTTCAAAAAATTAGGTACTGAGTTTTGCTTAATATAATTGTTTAACAGTGTGTTTGAGTGATGCTTGGGTGGAAGACAAGCATGGCTTTTGGGTGGAAGTCTTTTACAATGGTGAAAGTTGTTGAGTGGAAACGTGAAACCCACTACATCATGGATTTTACGATTTTTATTTTGCATGCTCAAAAATTAAAATTCTACATTATACTTTAAATATATCAAAAGTGTTACAATGTAATTTTTCTATTATTTTTTAGTCAAAAGTCAACCTATTGACACTGACTGTAAAACTAACAAAAAGTTAACAGAAAGTCATATTGCAACACTTTTGATATATTGAAGGTTTAAAATAAAAATCTTAAAATCTTTTAGGCTATAAAATAAAATTTGCCCTAGAATTATATGGAGGATTCTTCCATATCTTATTTCAATAGACAAATGAAAATGTACAGTAATCCAAAGAGATAGCTCAAGTGGTAACAAGAATGAGTTATAAATATAGATGTGTCAAATTTGAATTTTGACAATTCATTTGGAAAAGACTTTGATAAATACCCTATTCTCGGCTTGGATGGTCTGTCATTGACCGGATCAGGGAAAAAATTAGTCAAAGTGCGTATAAATTGCTTCAAACTCCCTTGACCGTTGAAGCAAAAAAAGAAAGAAAGATATAGCTGGTGAAGAAAGCTCACGAGAAATGCAAAGCAAAAATAATGTTATTTAGACTTAAAAATTTGACTCAATTGATGACCAAATGATATAGTTTCATTAAAATCATTAGATTAACACCAAATTCTAATATTTTATGAGACTCAATCAATCCAATAGTTATAGTGAATTAAGTTAAAGACTTTTATTGGCTACATATTATTTGTCACAACAAACAAATATATTTAGTGACAAAATATGATGTTGCCACAATTATACCATCTTTGTGGTCATATTTATATTGCCAATGATGTTAAGTCTTTTATTTATTTTTAAAAATAAATCTATATAATAAAGTACAAAGTAATTTAAATTTTTAAAAATAAATAAAATAACTTCTATTTTTCATGGTATAAATTTATCCAAATTTTTCAAAAATTGATCTAATGGCTAAGATTGACCTCCCAAATTTTAGTTTCCCACCCAATCTCTTTGGTCACACACTCTCACGTGTACTCTCTCACACACTCACTTAAATTAATATCCTATATCTCAACTCTCTAGACCTCCCCTCCTCTCTCTCCGACGAACTCCTACAGATCCGATGACATCTTTCTCTCTTCTCCTCATAGAGTGTTTGAATAACGATTTTTCTCGTGCGACCTCCATTGGTTTTTCTCTGACTACATCCTTCTCTCTCTCCTATTTCTCTCTCTCTCTCTCTCTCTCTCTCTCTCTCTCTCTCTCTCTCTCACACGTCCAGAGTTGTGAGATTCACATACTCAAACACTATGTTCAAATTCCCTCGAATACTATTTGACATTGAATTTTCTCTCAGATCTTGCTCATTCAAATGTAATAATTTGTGGATCCAAGATCTGGCAACAGGCAACTCCGACTACCTCAGGCAACTCTAGTGACTTCAACAACTTCAATTGTTCCTCAAATAGTTCTCTCGATCCAAATTTAGCCCCCTTTGCTTACCCGGCAGTTCAACAATTATCCAACTGAGTATGTTTCAATTGTGTTATTGAGCTTCCATTTGTGTATTCAATTGAATATATGAATCTCATATGTGAATATGAATTTGAATACACATGTTTAGATTTCGATTGTAAAAGCAACTCCAACCCTACTTAGCAAAATGACTAGTCAAAATATATTTAATTATTGTATTCTCTACTTTAGCCAGCCACTTTTTTAAATTCACTTAAATCACGCTTTCTATTTTAGCTAACTATTACAACTAACTTTCAATAATATAATTCAAAAATACCACGTAGCCTAATAATATAATTTAAAATTTTCACAAATACTTGCATTAATATTTCATAGGGTCTAAAATTAAATATTTCATTATACAAGGGGGTTTTCAAAATTTGGGGGGAGGGGGGTTTTCAAAATTTGGGTTTCAGAGAATGGAGTTTTTCAGAATTGGGGGAAGAAGGATTTTCAGAATGGGTTCCAGAGAGGCAGGGGGGAGGTGGGTTTCGAAATTGGGGGAGGGGATTTGCAGCTTGGGGGTGGGAGATAAAGAAAATTACCTGGACCAACCCTTGGAGAAGACGATGAAGACAGAGGTGAGCAGTCTGGCGAGTTTTTTCTCCTCTCCAGATCTGGCGAGCAACAAGAATCTCGTAGGTTTTAGCTAGCAAAATGGCGGGTCGATTAGAGCAATTTTTTTGAGCAAGCCTCGCCAAATTAACTAAAAATAAAGATTTAGCTAGTGGGTTGGACATGCTCTAACACTCATGTTTAAATTAGTGCTTTGAGACCTAAACACGTACTTAAACAGGACTCAAGTATACTTTCTACTTACATGTTTAAATTATGTGTTAATTACTGGTTTGATAACTTACTTTCTACTTTCTCATCTCTCTCTGTGTGTCTCCTTTAAGCAAATCTCACGCACACACCTCCCCACCCTCCATTTGTTTGAGAAAATGCCTAAAAGAATTTGGTGTTGATTACAACTGCCAGATTTGGCAATACCGATGCCCAATGGACATAGACTGTCTCAATACCTAAAACCCCTCCCTCATCCCTCTCTTCGGATGAAACCCCCCCCCCCCCNCAACCACCTCCAGACCCCTCTCTGTCTTCGCACATTTCTGTTTGCAAAACCCCTATTGGTATGAAGACATGTAAATTGTGTACATGTCTTCAAATTTTGAGTTATGTTTTTAGAAGTAATTTTGTACATTTTTTTATATTCATCGGTTCTAGATACTTATTGTTATGATTATGTGCACTGCTTTTTTCTCTTACTATGCTTTTTTTTTTTAGTTGGTTTTTTTTCGTCGCATTGTGCCTTTATGCATGGACAAAAACTAATTATCAAAATCAGTTGATGACATGTTGTATATACCACTTTCTTAATTTGGTAGCTCACTTGCATTTCTCCTCTCTCTCTTGTCAATTTAATATGTCTGCTTAATATGCATCGCCAGATATTTGATAAGATGCCTTAGCCCATTACTCAACCTTCAACATTATTTTTATTTTCACTTAAGTTTTGGCATATGAAAAACTGTTTATCAATACCCAATATATTTACGATTGATTTTGAGTTGTGTTTAATTGAGTGCATATTGTGTTTAGTACTGCTTTTGGCTACCCATTTATTAACTCAATTCGAAAAAAGCAATACTATAGTCTATAGGACCTCATTTGGGACTTAATCAGAGACATAAGTCATTGTAGCCATTAGATTAGTTGTGAACTCTAAGGTTAGATGGAGTTCACTTTCAATTCAACAATTCTAATTGAATAGATCCCCAAATTAGGTCTACATAATATTTTCAGTTTGAAAATTAAATCCACTATGACTTGAAGCTATTAAGCCAAACCCATACCGGGTAATTTTGCCCTAATTTTGGGTTATGGGTCATCATAAGAAATACTAGACCCAAAAAATCACCATTTCTAAATTAAAGTTCAATTTTCTCCAGATTACTATTTTGTAGGCTATTTTGTGGAAACGAAACTTATAATTTTATTTTTTTTAGCATCCAATCATTTGAAAAATTATGGTTCGTGATTTGAGGAATTAGGTTTGGATGATGATGGATATGGGTGTCTTATATGGATGTACATACACAACATTATTAAATGCAAAAAGAAAAAAGAGAGTTTTTTTTTGCAAACAAATAATATCGCCAATAAATAATTACACTAGTGGCGACTTTAAATATGTCATCGCTAAATCTTACCATTAAGTGGCACAATATTTATTTTTTCCAATATTTCTGTTTGGAAAGTAATTTTTTTGGTCGCCATTAAAA